AATGCCATAAATTACCATATTCAATCCAAGTGTACCGTTAAAGTCCTATTATAAACCGCGGTTTATATTACAATGTATCAATTTAAAAATTGGGATCAAAAGCTCAAGTTCGGGGTGCGGTTTCTATTACGTACATATTGCAATCACTAAATGGGCGTGGTAATTTTTTGTCCACAACACATGCACAAAACAAACAATACACCGTACAATCTCTTGAATAGGCGTTGGGGAAGAGTGAAAGGCCTTATTTTGGTTCTAAAATAGGCGTTACGAAATGTTGAAAAATTACAGTCAATCAAAAAAAATGTCCACATGATACAAAAAATACTCAGTATTTTCAATGTAATATGCATTTATTTTTTTAATTTTCTTGGTAACGAAAAGTATATTCTAACAGAAGTTTCAAATAAAAACACGAATGCACTGCTTAGTAGCAAATGATCACAGAACGGTAGCTCGATCCGGCCATGCTGCGGGTCACAAGTGAATCACTTACTTGTTTTCGAAGTGTTGATATTGGTGATTATTATTCAGTAGTGATTACAATAATGCACGAAAAATAAATCCGTTGAATTGTTATGAAAAGCAAGTAAAATTCAACTTGATTGATTTCAGTCACATGTAAACAGCGGATACGATATCCGCCATGTTTTTGAATGCTCACGTGACGTATTATTGACCGGATAGGTCAAGTCGCTAATTAACCAATCAAAATGCTGGATGGTGCCCATGTGTCTAAATTACATAGCTCATTTAAATATGTTAATGACAGTTCAGCGACCTCATGGTGAACGCAACACGGAAGAAATTTACCGATAATGTAGTGCGATCTTTTGGCTTTGATTTCCATGGAAAAACGGCATGATTTTTTTTTTAAATCAAGAAATTATTTGTTTTCGAAAGATAAACTGAGCATTGAAGAATAATTTAACACTTTTACGGTGATAAAAGCTCATTGTCTAAAACTTACGAAACACAGACGTATTCAGAAAGAGTATTGACAGAGGTCGCTGCCAGAACAAAAGCAGTTTCATTGCCTGTCTGACATCTTATCACTGCTGAACAATAAATATTGTGAATATTTTTAGCCATGTTGTCGAAAAAAATGAATAGGATTAGGAACAATACCGTTTTGGAACAGCTGGTTGAAACAATGAAGTCAGTCACGGTCTTGTTGAATTGGGGGTGCGGTTAGTAATAGGTACTTTTCAAGTTTTCAATTTTTGTTAAGAACTCTTTAACCCCGAAGCCGGAATTGGGGGTGCGGTTACTATTACGTATGCGGTTTATATTAGGACTTTAACGGTAAATTGTGGAAATATAGTAGTAAGGCAAAAAGTCAGATGGCTGTCAATCGGGCATCCTTGACCAGATTTTGAAACAAATTGTCATGGACATGCATCCTAACTTTTATAAAGTACATGTATGTGCCAAATTTGAATGAAAACTGACAGCGCACGTCCAAGATACCGCATAAAAAAAAACAAGATGCCTACCAGTCAACCATCTTTAATCCAATTGCGAAATAAATAGTCGTGGACAGGTATCCTAACATGTATAATCTATGTACCAAGTTTGAATGACAACTGACAAAGCATGTCCAAAATACAACATTTTCAAAAAACTAGATGGCTGCCAGTCTGCCATTTTAAATCGAATCACTAAACCACTGCATGTGCATACGTCCTACATAAGGTACTAGGCACATGCAAAGAATGAACGGAATCGGTCCACAAGATTCTGAAATATGACTCTGGACAGACTGAAGCACGGACGGACGGACACACGAACCGATAGACTCAGGAACTCACGGACGGTCCGGGACATATATACTAATATGATTTATGTACCAAGTTTGAATGAAAACTGACAAAGCATGTCCAAAATAGAACATAATCAAAAAACAAGATGGCTGCCAGTCGGCCATTTTGAATCAAATCACTAAACCACTGCATGTGCATATGTCCCACATAAAGTACTGGGCACATGCAAAGAATGAACGGAATCGGTCCAAGGGATTCTGAGATATGACTCCGGACAGACACACAGACAGAGACCAAATTATAAGTCCCCGTTCTCGTACTTCGTTCGAACGGGGACTAATAATGAACAACAAATTGATCAGAATCACTCCCTATGATATTAAGGCCATGGCCAAACTCCTAGTCATTAACAGTATTTAAATTATTGGAAGCAGCAGGAGTTGGCTGTAATGTAATTGAGGACGGATGCCATTTTACATTAGTATGTCCCAAACATAACTAAGGTTGAAGTTTATTTCACAGTATTACTACTCCCCACCTACAGAGATAAAGTTCAGAATCAAACCACATATATAAAATTAAACCTCGGTAAATTTATATTTTATAGCTTTCAAGAACAACAACTTATGTTTGGAGAGAACACTTAAATTATTCAAATTTATGTATTATGATTTTATATTTGTTTTTCTTTACTTATTTCTGCGACCATTCCAAACAAATTTATTATGTATTTATTTGTATCTGTAAATAAGGCCAAAGGCCACAGTATGAAATAAAGATATTATTATTATTATAACAAATTGATCACAAGTCTGTGGTTACAATTATCTAATGCTATCTTTCATTTTGATATAGTTTTTAAACACACTTTTTTATTTCCTGGCTATAAACTTGAGAAGATATCTACATTCGCATCTAATATGATGAAATCGAAAAAAAAAGAATCTACACACACTCTCACATTTGTACATTCTTACAAGTGCCAAAATTCAGATTGAGTACAACATTTTGTAAATGCTTGACCATCTGTGATATCATAGCAGGTAGTTTAATCGATAATTAAACTAGTCAGCTAGCTGGAGCAGTAAAGCCTAGCATACCAATATTAAGAGCAGTTTTCCACAGACTTTCCTGGGATATGGTTAAGTGCCTAATTTTAAATTACATAAAAATTATATTGATTATATTGGCATAGTTTGAAACTTTTTTTCACTTTAAACAATTTATTTTGTGCTTAGAAACATAAAAAATAATAATATTGATGTACCAAATAATGATTTTGGGTGATAAAGTAGCAGGCATTTCACAGGTACTTCTTTCAAGTTGCATATTGTGTGCAAACCAAATCTCAGATTCAATTCACTTTAGGATTAAAATCAAAATGAAAAAAAAAAAATAATCTTGTTCAATATATTAAAATAGATGAAAATAAAAAAGGATGCCTACAATCTTGAGAATTGGCGACTTAACATTACACGACTGAAAGACTCAATCTAGAAAGTAGGTTGCTAAATTGTTTTCTTTCATAAAATAGTTTAAGTCGCATTGGCTAATGCTACGTTGTTTTTCTTTACCAATGCCAAACTGGTTTAGCCACTTTGCAAATGAGGAGAAGTGAGAAATTGGACAATTGCTTATGTAATGTACACATTTATATGGGTGTTGACTTAAATGATGACAATATTTTGGGAATAATTCATGATTTGAAATTGCTCCTAGCCATTGGTGGCAAAAGTCACAATTTATTGTAGCCAGATCTGAATGAAATTCGCCATTGGAGACCAGCTAAGGGATAGTTAAAGCCCAGAGTATTTAGAAAAGTAGACAACTAATGAGTCATAGAGTAAAAGGCTTGAAGCTGCCTTCTATGAAATGCTCCTGCAACAATATTTTGGAATCTGTGCACATACAATCTGCAATTTTTCAAGATACATTTTTTTTCCAGTATGTAATTTTTACACTAACAGAATAAATACAGTAAATGTGTCGGTAACTTGTACACAATACCTTAACTTGCTGCATGAATGTGTAGTGTCCACTGTACATACAGTACCACTCATGACAAAATAACTGGGTTAAGGAAATTCATGATTCAACAAATTACGAATCATAAATTAACAAATCAACAAATTACAGTTAAACTAATTCATGATAAAATGTGGTTCACCTATTTTTGCGAAGCAATTGCTCTCGTTTGTGAAGAACAGGGATACACAGCCGCCATTTTTAAGACAACTTTTATAATAAATATTTTTTTCATAATGATTAAAATAAACCTGTACTACACAGACCCCTCACCTACCACCATCACTAGTCTTAATCACTTAATCACAAGTATTGTCTACACTTGTGTTGTACATGTATGTAATTAAAAATGACTTTTTTATGATAAGACTTGTTTACACCAATGCCTCACTATTGCTATTAAATAATTATTATTACTGTTTTTAATCCACACATCTACGTCTGGCATTTATTGACTCGTGATTTGTGATTCGTGAATTACCCCGACTAATACTATGCTATACAATGTGCAAAAGCAGTCAACACACGTCAAATATTTGAGTCAACGGTAAATTGGTGAAAGTTTATAAATATTTTAAGATTTATAAATTCGCAAATACTACCAAATACAAACCCAAAGTCCGATTTCCCATCACCAACACCGCGCACTGACGTTCGCTCTACTCCACCACTAACAGGTATCCGCCCAAAAATGTCTTGCGATAAACCATACATAGCGCGTTTGTGATGATCATGGACCTAAATCTAGTACAAGCCCGACCGAAAGGCCACCGCCCGGTTGATTTAACGCGGCTCCTACACATTTCATTTACCTAAATGCTCATACCGTATCGGTGGAGTGTGAAATATGATATTGAGACAGATTTTCTATCACAGTTTTCCTTTCTTAGTTTTCAAATCTCTGCAATTCACTAAATTTGCACTAACGTCGTCACCGACCACGTGATACGGAGGGTACGACCAATACTACACGTCACACAACTAAGTAACAATTTATCGATTTTTCGGAATAAATACAAACGACTCAACGCAAATTTTGAGACGCGCGTGATCTTGACATTATGCTGCATATGCAAATAATCACTCAAGTGACTGTTACCTCGTAATGTTTCGTATTCCTGTAGTTTTTCTCGAGTAGCTTCCGCAATGTGCTCCTGTATGGAGGTCGCCATGTTGGCACTTCCGCCTTGTATGCAAATTAGATAAGATTTGCATAAAGTGCTGCTTCTGAAAATGGTTGAAGAGACAGAAAATACAGGTTTATGAAAATATTTGATTGATGATTAAAATTAAACTGAGTACCGGTGTACTACAGTACAGCACTAACCTTTTAACACCTTGGCTGAATGCATGAAAGTTTGTCACCAGAGGGCGTAGTTTTAGTGGACGGAATGAATACGTCCTTGTCCTTATCCCCGAAACCATAGACCCTCTACTGGAGGATCTATGCCGAAACCGATAATTACTCTCACAGGCCAATACTATTAGGGAACCCTAAGTTTGTATGGTTGTACCTGCTTTTTTGAAAAGTAAGATACATATATTTTATGGACCGACGATTTACAACCCGGTAGGACGGTAAAATTATAGCCGAATCTAAATGTATGGATTCTTCCGACCACAGTTACGACAAAACAACAATATAAATACTGTCAAGGGTACATAACGTAAAGAATCATGTTTACTCGCAAAACTATAACGAAAACTTCAAGTTCAAGGACAGAGGAGTCGGTTGCCCCTTGAAAATTTGTTGGGGTGTCGCCCCTCCAAAATCAAGCTTAAACCGTTTTGTGTCATCAAAATTTGCCCCTCAAAGTGCAGGAAATAGCGTTGGTGAGCAGATCTCGCCCCTCCTTGCAAAATTTCTGGCCGCTGCCTCTCGGAATGCCTTTGTTGTACCAAGAGTACCTTATCTGTATACTTGTCATCTTCTTTATGGCGCCAATGTGTTTGTTTGAGTACCACGGTGTGGCGGATCCAGAGGGGGGCCGGACCCCCCAATACATTTTGCTGGATCCGCCACTGTCAATAAACATTTGTAATTACTTCACCTATGGGAGGGGGGGGGGGTTGTTGAGATTACTAGTACTTTATTTAGATCAATTTTTGTTTTAATTGTGTTCATTCTAGTAATTGTTTTTAACATTTGTTTTTTTAACTCAGTCTTTATTTTATTCTTACTTTCTATTATTGTATTGTCTTGTATTGTATTGTATTTAGAATCGTCCTAGTCTTGTAATACTTTTTTATTCAGCATACTAAACCCGCTGATGGTTCGGTAGTGTAATAAAGTTATTAATATTTATTTCGAATACACCATAATCTTTGAAAGAAAGATGCGACAAGAGATTAGAGATTTTATTTTTGTTATTACATGTTGCTTTTTGTTTGTATAATTCTCATGCTATTTAGGTTTAGTGGCTGTATTGCCGATCTCCCAGTCTATATAATTACATTGTACAACAAGAGAACTGGTGATGGTTGTAGAACCATAACTGCCTCAGCTCAAAGATTGTTATGTAATACAAGGGAATGTGAAGGGAAATGTATTGTAATGTTACCACTGTGTAATTTACAATATATCTGAATTAACCTTCACTGTGAAGGACAATATGGGAGTTGACTTAAATGACTGGTAGAAGCAAGGCTGGTCAAATTTTGCGAAATAGTAGTTAGAATTTCCAGATACGCAATCGACACATTGTGGGGATATCAAAATGTGGATGATAAACAGCAAGTGATATTTCCAGAGATGTAGTTGGAATTGAAGCAAAGGAGTGGCCTATTAATCCATGAAACATACTCACACATATTCGTACATATCATCCTGTCTTATTGTGTGTGGGCAAAGCTGTCATGTACACAATCGGAAAAATATGTTATTACTGTAAATAATTATGATCAATAAAAACTGAAATTTAGAAAAACTATGAAATATTAAT